CATAAAAAGGGTTTATATGGATGGGTAAATGTAGGCTCATGTAGACACGGAACTCAACTCAACTTGTCGACATGAGTGCTCCGCGCAACTTAAAGTAACTGAACGCAACTGCACAGAACTGACCGCAACTGAAAAGAACTGACAGCCGCGCATATTTGTCGATATTATCAAGCTGAGTTTAGTTCCTTTCAGTTGCCCATGTTCAATTTTTCGCGGAAATGAAAGAAACTAAAAAATGCGCGAAAAAGTCTGATTTGGAACTCAAAGAAACTGAAAACGTTGATCCTGATATTAATTCTAATGCATTAACTGAAAAAAAAATATTATATTACAATGTTTTGTTAATGGCAGATGACTTATTCTTTGTTTTAAAAAATATAGGCCTAGGCCAGGTATTTATTCTAAAGGAATACGTTCGGATTTATTATACCATGCTATTACAATAAAAAATAGCAAGACAGAGGTACATTTTTGTCTATGGCTAAATATGGCAGTCTATATGACAGTACATAGTACATAGTAGACCTATTTTTCTGCGCGCCTCTAGTCTGGGGGCCTTTTTTCAAAATCAAAATATTCTATTTCATGCCGCCTGGAGTAGCCTAGAGCCTTTCCATTGATCAATTCCAAAATGAACGATTTTGACGAAGGCAATGATTTTGACGGCAATTGATTGACTATGCAAAGATCGCCCATGTCTACATGACACCAGTTCTAAGTCGTATAGTGATAGAACAAAAAAACGACAGGCTTTAACGGAAATGTCAGAACTTTTGGGGAAACCGATACCGTAAGTAATGCAATCGAGTCAGCAACCTAAGCTACTGTTGTGTTGACATGTCTAGACTCGCTGACATTCTTGCCGCGTCTTAGGCCTAGCTTTCGTAATTTCATTTTTTTTATTTTGTAAACGAAGCCTAATGTAAATTTTCGATTTAAAAAAAAAATGAAAAATTTGTAAAAAGCAGAGTAAATTTTTATTTTCCATCCAAGAAATTTAATTGCAACTTACAAAAATTGAAAGTAGGATAATAAAAAAACAAGCAGGCAATAAGCCTAGGCCCTACTATGATATTGCCTAATTGGGCCGAAGCGTGGGTGTATGCTTACATACAAATTACTGGTGCTGTTAAGCCTGAATTTGTTTATTAATACATAGGGTACACCTAGCTATCAAGGTTGTCAGACTTACAATAATATGGACAGTTCACGATCTAAATTTACCTTTACTCAGGTATGCCGCCATTCTTCTAAGTGTGTTGTTACTAGGGACACTCAATTTTACGTTAAAGTTCCTTTCAGTTGCGGGTCTAAATTTTCATAATAAAAATGTAGCGTAGATACACTTTTTAAAATTCCTCGCCACATTCCTCGGATTGTTCATCAAATTTATGATCAATAGAAGTGAAAGGATTTATGCTTATGCTAAAAATGTCTGTGTAGTTACGTCATAGTCTACAGAGAAATTATGAAATGGAAGATGAACATAATTATTATCAATCATATGAATAAAACTGATTTAGCAATGTAAGCTGCACTGGAAACTCTTAAAAAAGAAAGAACATACAAAAAAAAAATGACAATGTAACAGAATATTGAAACATGATTTGAAATAATTGAAATCAGTTGTTGCACAACCATACAAAGTAATACTTTCGTGATCGATGGCTATCTGTATGCAAATGAGCACCGTAGTATGCAAAACAAAAAAAACCAAAAAAACAAAAAACAAAAAACAAAAAACAAAACAAAAAACAGTGAAAAATATGCACTAGGTATATAGGTTTATAAGTTGATAATAAGTTAACATATAAGTTCTTAATTATGTCATTTAAAAAAAGACAAATAACTTCCCTTTTTTAAAATATTTTTGTTGTTTATATATGTTTATGTAAGGTAATTGGCCGATGTTCTCCATTTTCCGGCAGTAAATTTTAGCTTAGTACTACAGTATTATCAAGTAATTATTTGACTTTGGCTTTCCATTTAATCTTCTCCTTGCAATCTGCTTGAGTTAGATGTCAACCATGGAAACTGTAAACACAATGCGCTCGCTCAAGAGAATAAAACGTTAGTTCATGCCTTAGTAGCATCATGTCTCGATTACTGTAATACTGTTCGTTATGGAATTCCTAATAAAGTTATTCGGAAATTTCAGTTTCAGCCGAATGTTGCAGCCAGGCTTGTTTCGCATACTCCGAAGCATCAACATATCACTCCTACTCTTCGTTGTCTTCATTGGCTACCTGATGAGCAACGTATACACTTCAAAATAGTCTTTTCGTGTATAAGTCCCTTCATTGTTTATCTCGACAGTACATTGATAGGCTCGATCAACATGCAGTCGCATATATACTTAGGTCCACTTCATCTAGTTTTACTACTCTTTATGTCCTACTGGTCGGTTAAAAACCTATGGTGATAGATCATTCTCTGTTGCTGCACCAAAGTTAATTACCTTACAATTCTAATCTTTTTTTTTTTTTTTTTGCTGGTTTTCTTTTTCCTTGTCGTTTTCTTCCATTTTTGTCTTGACACTAAGTTTGAAAGCGCATATAGACATTGCATTGTAGTATGCGCTATATGAATGGAAGACCATTCCATCTAGGTATACACAATTTTTCGCTTTCTACGTAATTACCAGTGTTTATCTTTGCTGTGACCGGCGCGTGTATATTTGTTTTCTGCAGTACACAAAAGTAATATAGATTTCTTTTAGCCAATCAGAACACGAAGCAGACAATGACATAAAAACATATAATCGCTCAGATGAAATTCGTGACTCAAGTATGGATCCTTCTTTTGTGTTTGTGTGGGATAAGAATGATCAGTCCACAGAATTTAGCAGATGTAAGTAGGCCTAGCCTATACAAATACGTAACAAAAACATCCCATCGTCATCTCAATCAAAATGTTCCCAAACTTCTAGGCAAGCATGTAGTGTAAGCCAGTATGTAGTGGTCCTATGCATAATGCTCTCCTATATGC